TTTTTTTTTTTTTTTTTTTTTTTTTTTTTGGTACTGGGGATAGAACTCGGGTCCTTGTGCTTGCAAGGCAGGTGGTGGAACCGCTGAGAAATTCCTGGTTCTTAACACTCAATAAAGGTTTTGTTGAATAAATGACAAAGGCAGAACTGGGAGATGGAGTGACAGTATGCTGATAAGAACTATTTAAGCATGCATGTAAGCAAGCCTGTGCCTAGGAATTTTCTGAAGGGGGTTTCTAGGTTCCCAGGGAGTACAGGCTTACTCTTACTATATACCTTGTTCTGTTTATACATTTTCATCCTGAACAGGTTATTTCTGGATCCTCTGTTGTCCATAGGGTGTGTTTTTGGACTCAATGAAAAGAGGTAAAGGAGGTGGGTGGGAAGCTTTTAAACATACCATTCCTCCCCCTTCCGTCTCCCCTCAGAAATATTTTCAGCTGCCCTAAGTGCAATGACAGCATGGTGACTAAAACGAGCAGTTTCAGTTTTCACAAGCCACTCCACAGAACCCAGAGAGAACACAGGGTGACAGTATAGAGTCCCAGCATGGTGAGGTAGCTTCGGAAGAGCAGTTGGTCAAAGCGGTACAGGAGTGCCAGCCACGCAACCTCTTGCTTGTCCATCTGGTCCTGAGTGTGGAGGTAGTTGTTGATGGATTGAAGCTGAAACCAGACTTCCTTTAGGGTCCCCGGCTGGGCCTGGTGCTCTTGATAAATTGGGGACTCTGAATGATAGAGCAAAACACCAGATAAATCACAGGCTAAGAAAGCCAGCCTCAACTTTCCTTGAAGCTGATGGCCTCACCTTTCAAGGGAGGTTGAGGGCAACACTGGGCAGTGGGTTGGGGTTGGGGTCAGGGACTCTTACCTTCCTTGCTTAGATAGGCATGGCTATGCTGAAGGAAGGCCTGGAACACATGGCAGAGATGTGTTGCCTAAGCAGTGTATGTCTAGGTGAGATTCACCTAGGAGATTTTCTGAGCTAGGGACTAGCCCCAGTTAACTGAATTGGAGTTTTAGGGGCAGGGATGATTCATATGCTTTTTCAAATTAAGGAATTGGAACTCTAATATATATAACTCCTCTCCAGAGAGAGGAGAGAGAGAGCACTTGCATGTCAGAGGCCCAGTCATATTAGGTAATTAGTTGAAACTGGAAAATTAAACAAGCTAGGAGTAACTAAGGACCTGACCTTAAAGCTATAATGACCTCCAGCAGGGACCAGGGATTTAGCCTCACAAGCGCAATGTCCTGAGTTTGATCCCCAGTACCAAAAACAAAACAAACAATAAAATGACCTCCAGCCAGAAGTGACCCTTCGTCCCTAGAGAGGTAAAATAAAATGCAGCACAGGGACTAAGGAGCAGATTTTCAGGTTCTTCACACAACTCACCACAAGGTCTGGTGCTTTGCCAGTGGGCACTGGTGCCCAGAGTAATAAAGCAAGGCAGTATAGGGAGCTCAAGGTTTCTCACAAACCTGTTACCCCAGCACACTGGGCCCTGGGGTCCACTCTAGATTCATCAGCATCAGCATCCCTTTGAAGACACAAGAGGGGCTGTTCCCACCCACTGCACTGTCCGTTGTGGAGAAATTTGACCAAGAGAACTGACTTGGATAAGCTGAGAACCAAGAAGGCCATGCAGACTGTGAAGAAGACACCTAAGGGAAGACACCAGAGTGAAAAGATGGAGTTAGCCAGAGACTCGGGCCTCCCCCTCCTCTAATCTGAAAGGCAACACAAATCTCTGACAGGACCAGTGTAAGATGGGTGTCAGGTGGTCTTGAGGCTGCTTACCAATCAAAGAGGTATTCCCTGCACTCCTTGGCACCTCGTTAGCCATGTTGACCCTGAAGACAGTGTAGCCCACCAGAACACTGGTCTTGAATATAATCCTGGCCCGGCAGTTGGGTGGCAGATAGAAGCTCCCCAGGTCCATTAGCATTAGGAAGATGCTGGGAATCAGCAGGCTCACGACATAGGCCAGAGGGCGTCTGCGAATCACCACCTGACCAGGGAAAAGGACTCTGATGAATCTACACTGATGGACTAGGGTTTGGCCATAGCCAGGAATACTCCCTTAAGTCTCAATACTTTTGCTGTCTGTGTAGTTTATCTTGGAAATATGTTTGAGGTTATTTTATAGTTTAGAAAAAAGGAAAACTGTCCTTTAAACTTTCCTAAGAACTAATGTTAATGTTATTAATAGTTACAATAAGAAGCAGTTATTTATTTATTGCTTGTGTGCCAGACATTAGATTAAGTGTTTTACATGTTTATCCTATTCAGTCCTCACAACTTCAAGGGCTGATTTTGTTATTATCTCCACTCTACAAACAAGGAAACTGAGTCTCAAACAGGTTGAGTTACTTGTCCAAATGTGCACAATTGATGCAAACTATCTTAAAATCAAAAATCTTCCTTCTCTTAAACCACTTACTATGTAAAATTTTTGTGGATTATTTTCCAGTTAGCTTTCTTGTTTCTTGGAATATGAGCTCCTTGGCATTAGGTGATCTATCAGAGATCTGTGCAGGAACAAATAGCACAGTAAAATGAGTAAATTTCAGGTGGGCTCAATAAAGAGACTCTTTGCAAGATGTGGACATGGTATGAAGAAACCACAAGAACAGCAGGGCTGAATTTGGTGATGCATGCCTGTAATTCCTGCACTCTGGGAGGCTAAGGTAGGAAAATTTGCAAGTTTGAGTCCTGCCTGGGCAAATTAACAAGAGCCTTTCTCAAAACACACAAGTAATCAAATGAACAAAAAGAACTGGGGATGTAGCTTAGTGTGAAGGTCCTGTGTTCAATCCCCAGTCCCTCCACCTGCTAAAAGATTAGTACACCAGAACTTTTTTGCAGACTGAGTGAGCAGATATTACCCTTAGGCCTGAAGGAGCCAAGGGCTAGGAGTAGAGACCAGGCCTGAGTGAGAAGTCTATGCAGACAGTCAAGAGCTATGGCTTTCTCCTAGGGACAAAACCAGTTTGGCAGTGACCAACCCCCAACTCCTTCCAATTTCTTGTCACTGCTCCTGACCCTTTCTCCCGTGACCAAGGACCCCATCTCTGCAGATCCCAGCTCAGTCTAGGAGCACAGAGGAGATGTGGGTTCCCCTAGAGCAAACTGAAGCTCTCCTGCTTAGTCTGTACTATGGGTCCGTACAGAGCTCTGAGCAACTTTTGCAGCATGGAATTTGACTCTCATAAAATCACTATTATTATTGCCATGTTTTATAGCTATATTTATGTCACTATGGGATAGTGATAGGAAAATGTCTTTAAGAAACATCTACTCTTCTCATCCTTCCTAAAAAGAAACGAAGAAATATGTAGCTGAGCTGCTTCTCCCACTAGAATGTGAACATTTGTTTCATCCCATCACCAGGGTGGTGATGATCCCCCAAGTGGCAAAATGAGACTTTTTTATAGTAGGTATTCAACAAATGTTTGTCAAATAAATGAACATCTTAAGCTTTTTGCTACTGGATTTAGATGAATAGGCTTAGAATCACAGTTCTTGGATTTTCCTAATTATAGAATGCTTTCTACATGTGGGGTGAGTGCTGGGTGCATTTACTCAAACGATGTGATTTATGGAAATATCACTGCCAACTTGTTGGTAAGTAACATCCTCCACTTTACAGCCCAGACCCCTTAAGTAAGATGAGCCAGTGGCAGAGCTGATATGTTCCACACTGAGTCTTTGTGTTCTTTTCCACTGCAGCACATTTGAGCAGGTTTCTGAGTCTGAGTAGGGAAAGGGTCCTTCTCTGTCATCTCAAGTCTCTGGCTCCAAAGCCAAGGCAGAAATGACACACAGAACCCAGCAGTGGGGCAAAGGGTGGTGGGAGAACAGCTTGGCCAGGAGAGCCCAGACGCCATCTTGCTGATCAGAGTGAGAGCTCCCACAATCACCAGGTCCAGGAGCCCATCTCAGCTCAGTGGAGCTTGGCAGGCCAGCGCCGTTTGGCAGATTGTAGTCTGGCTGTTGTCTTTCACATTAAGCATAATTGGCTGCAAACGGCTACACCAGAGCAATACTCACTGCTTTGCAGTAATTTGGTTAAAACACATTTCTACCAAAGTGCATTCAACAAGAAAAACAATAACAAAATTAATTGTCATCAGCCTGCACCTCTGTAGCTCCTGTCATCATGCTTTGATTGAAATGGCTGTGGGTAGTGTGGGCAGGAGAAAGAGGTCAACTCTCAGAGTCCATTGCAACCCAGCCTAGGCTATCAGTGTTCTGGCCTCATGAGGCCGGGTGGCAACCAGGTCTGCTGTCTCTGGAGTGTAGAATCTCCCCTCAGCAGAGATGGCATGGAGAAGAAAAGTCTCAGATAAGGAAAAGTTCAAATAGGCATGATGATCTGGCTGGAAACAACTCAAACTTAAAATCAACAGAGCAGAGTTCTGCAGTGACCCCATTCTAAGAACTTACAGAGCAAGTCTAATGATCCTGTATGAGGTAATCTCTCTGTGCCTCGATTCTTACTCTTTTCTTTCTTTCTTTTCTTTTTTTTTTTTTTTTTTTTTTTGTACTGGGGATCAAACTCTGGACCTATTTTTGAGACAGGGTCTTGCTATGTAGCCAAGGCTGGCCTTGAACTCATGATCCTCTTGCCTTAGCTTCCCAAGTGCTGTGACTACAGGAGTGTGCCCTCACATCCAGCTTTCCTTTTCTTAGTCTATTTTTCCTTGCCAAACATCTCGGGTACAACTGAGATCTGTTGTGCTCTTAAATAAAGTTCCTATGTGAATAGCATAAGTGAAGATGACTAATCTCCATGCAGAGGCTGAGGCAGACAGTAAATATAAATCGAAGCTGCAACCGAAGATAGGTAGTGTGGCTCCTCCAAGTCTGCAATTCCTGAGAAGTGCAAGTGTCAGGGAAGAGGTTTGGGAAGAGAGAGAACTAAGAGGTTAGGAGGCAGCTGGCTTCATGGGTGAGACCTGTACAGGACCTAAACTTGGACCGGCCTTGCACTTGGCTTATTGCTGTACTGCTAAAGTTTAGAAAGTCTTAATTTTTTAACAAGAAGCTCCACATTTTTATTTTTTAGTGAGCCCTACAAGTTTTGTCAGGTTCTGTCAGGAACCTAGTATTCACTGGATGGTAATAATAGCTGAATGCTAGAGGGGAAAGCATAAGTACAAACATGGACAATTCACCTCTATTGTGACATAAACTGAAGAACTTCCCTACTGATTATGGTGATGCCCACCTGTAATCCCAGCATGTGAGAGGCTGAGGAAGGAGGATCGCAGTGAATTTGAGGCCAGCCTGGGCTACATAGTGAATTCAAGACCAGCCTGAATTACATAATGAGTCCCTGTCTTGAACAAAACAAAATAAAATAGAACTTTTCTGTCTCTGAATTGTAAAATTGAAAAAAACCCTCCAAAACTACCTCATCCATTCTTCTCCTACCTTTAGGATGAGAAATGTTCCCCTTCCTAAAATAGACCAAACAGTCCCTACTAGTTTGATTTTCTTCCCAGAACAAGGGACTAACCTTTTTTCTTAGGTTCATTTAGGGGCAATGTTCCCTTCAGCTGAGACTAATTTTCTCTATAAGCTTAGTGCAGCTTTAAGAAACTCATATGGTTTTCAGAAACTTTTTTCTTCATCACATCATTTGATAACAATAATTGAGCATGAACAGGCTGTCCGGCACTATCCTAAATACCAGAATTAGATTATTAATGGGACAGGACTTTGCCCTGGCCTCTGTCATACAGGTTCACAAACCTGACCTGGTGGTTGGATATTCATTAGTCTGAGGCTGGAGAGAAATTTTGCACCAGAATGGGACATAACTAGAGTGTACACATGATTTGTATGACTTGGGTGATGAGACTTGGGACTTTCTGCATTGATATTCAGGTGATTATTTTGGATTTAAAGTTGATGCTAGAATAGACTAGGACTTTTGGGAATGCTGATATGGATGAATTTATTTTGCATATGAGGCAGATGTAAGTTTTAAGGGCCACAGCATGGTAGACTCTACTATGATAGTGTTCCCAAGATGCCATGTCCTTCCCAGAACCTTAGAATATAACCTTATTGGGAAATGGGATCATTGAAGATATAATTGTTAAGATGAGGTCATAGTAGGGTAGAATGGGCCCTTCATCCAGTCTGACTGGAGTCCTTAGAAAAGAATAATTAAGCAAAGAGAATGCAATGCAAAGATGGGACCAGATGGAGTGATGGGGCCGTAAGCCAAGGAATGCCAGAGACTGCCAGTGTGGAGTATATTCTCCCTTGGAATGCTTAGATTGGGCTTCTTGATTCCAGATTTCTAACCTTCAGAACTGTCAGAGAATAAATTTCCATTGTTTTAAGCCACCCAGTTGGTGCTTTGTCATGGCAGTCTTGTGAAACTACTAAAGGAGACTTGTCCAGTAACACATAGTGGGTGGCTGCCACAGAATGGATCAGAATACAGCATGTTGCATTTAATTGTGTGTCATCACAATATAGGATTAGACATATGGTTTCTGGAGTCAGACTGCCTGGATTCAAGACCAGGCTCCACTAGTCACCCTATAATCTCCAGTAAGTTGCTGAACTTCTTGGTACTTTATTCCACCCACTAGTAAAACTGCAGATACTTGGAGAACCCATCTCATAGGTGTAGACATCTACAAACTCTTAGACTGATGCATAGCATACAGTGTTCAGTCTTGCAATTATTGTTATCATGTCTCCCTGGGCAATTTTTGAGGTCCACAATAAATATTAGGAGCCATTTTTATTCATCTCTATGTTTTAAGTGTTTATCATTGAAACAGGTGCACAAAAAGATGTTCATTGCATTGTACTGGAATCTGTTAATAATGCTACCTTTAGTGCCAATGGAATAGCAGTGTGGAGTTACCCCATAGGGGGATTGAGGCCAGTCTTTTCAAAGGCTGCCTCTCGTAAATCACACCTGAAGCCATAACCTTGGTTTTTGCTGGGAAGTAGTATCACCAGCTCAGTGAGACACTGATCTCTGCAAAACGGCCCCTACCTACAGCCCATCATTTCTAATGGTCTAAAGGAGCTGGTGCCTTTAAATTCCACAGAAAAAGAAGAAAAAGCACTTTAGTTTCAGTCTGTGTTCTCCATTAGACACCCTTCAGGTGTTAGCAGTATTATGCCACAATTTCATTATCCATTAAAGCCAGGTAATAATAAGTACACAAAGGTATTTGGAGCCTATTGATGTTAATGAAAGAGATCAATCTAATTCAGAATGTGTGTATGGAGAGCTCCTTGGAGATGGAATAGGCCCCAAGGTTAGCCAATAATTGCCTCCTTGATGGTAGACCCCACCAGTACTCAATTTTGCATGACCGTCTTTATGACATAGTTGAAATTTTGACGCCCAGGCTCACACTTCATACAGAAGCCCATTTTCCTCCTTGCCCAAGCCCCTCCCAACATTCCCAGTTCAGAAAGAATGGGAGAGTTACCACCATTTAAATAAGATCTTTGCACTGAGGTGAGAGTTTCTTGGATCTTGACCACATGTTGGGCTGGGTTAGCAGAAACTCCATGAAGGAGTCCCAAGGCCCTAATCTCAATCTCTCTCTGCCTCTCTCTGTCTTTCTCTGTTTCTCTTTGACCCCTGCTTTGTTGGTACCCAGAAGAGTCTTATATTTATAAACTGCATTCAATAGAAATCTCAACAAAATTAAATATAAAAAGGAACCTTGCCGTGGAAAAAAGAGGGTAAGGAAAAGCACCTTTTCATTTATCCAGGAGTGCTTTGTGGGTACTCCCCTTCTTGCTTGAATGAATGAACACTTTGTTCAACATGGGGTATCTGTGGTTGGGCTGGCTTAGTTCCCACAGCTGTCTACTCTTTTCCATCCAATAAAAGTTTCTAAATTTTATCCCTATTTCCTCCCACTTCTACCCTCACTTAAAAAAAAAAAAATCACTGCCATACAGATCAAATACTTAGCCTGCTGTTTCTGGGAACTGGTATTTTCAATAATGTATTGGAAGAAACCTGCCCTCCTATGGCTGCTGGATCAGGTCTGGCACCACACAGACATCCTTGTGGGGAGAAGTGCCTTGTTCTGGGCCCCCTGTGGAATGTAGCCTGACTCCAAAGCATCAGTGGTGCCCTCTGATAAACAATACGTGTCCCAGAGCCATCAGCTATGATTGCACCTTAGCTGGAACTCACAGGGCATACACTGTTTGATTTAGTATAAACAGAAGCAGTGTACAACAGGCCTGAGATGATGGATTTAGACGAGATCATCATCTCCCCCACCTGCTCCACCTGTCTCCAACCTTTTGCTGGGCAGCCTGGACTGGGACACAGTGGGTGATTAGTCTAGGAGAGAGATGGCCCTTTGCCGTCAGATCCTGGAAGGCCGATGCTGGCATGGATGTGGGCTCTAGGTTTCACATCACTGGTCAAGGGCTGTTGAAAGATACCAGCATGTTTCAGATGCTAAATTCAGAGTTGGATATCTGCTACTGAGAAAGAATGATGAACCCAGGCAGGGTGCACATGGAGGCTGAGAGACTGAGATGGAGAATTGTAATAGTAACAGAATCTACTTTAAGTTTTTCCTGAGTGCAGAATCATTCCTAAGTCTGTCTGATGTGATCCGTACCTGTATTCAGGATCCTTTCACTACTCTTCTGGAGGACTAGGGTAGAAACCAGCCCTGCTAATAACCTCTGGGTAAGGGCACACAGAAGTCTCCAAGAGCAAGGAATCAAATGGGTGCCTCCACACAAACAATGTAAAGGAGGGGAACAGGGCAGTGAAGGGAACCAAGGAACTGGAGCATGGATCCTTGATCTGGAAAAGATTCCCTTCTGTTAAGCAATTTATCAGCTATGTTCATCATATTCCAAAGGAAGGGAGTACATAGAAAACCTCCTGCTGCTGTTGAGAAGAAAAATTAATATTTAAGGCAAAGGGTAACACATAACTGCAAATGGCTGCTCTAGGGAGAGCACCTGAGAGTATGTGTGCACACACAGAGATGCACGCACACACAGAGAGACACACACACTTGTGCTCCTGTTTACCTGCCCCATCTCTTGCCTCTATTCATCTCCTCCGTGCAGTGTAGGTAATGGGGTGTGCAGCATTCTCAGGAGTACTTGGTGGGTGACTATATTCCACCTTGCACGTGCTACTCCCTCACATTTCCCTTTAATGCTCTCCATTATTCGGGCTGCATTAATAATGTTCGCAGGCTGATATCTTTAAAATTAATGAGGTGTTTACTCTTAGCTAAGAAACTCATTGAAATTTTTTAAAAAGCTTCCCCCCCCTTTCTTTTACTAAAAAAAAAAAGTGGACAAGCAGGCCACAGCACAAGCTTTGCTAAAAGCCAAACAAAATTTTACACAAGAATTCAAACCTGTCCCACTCCTAGGAAGGTGGGAATTTCTAGACAGTGGTATAGTCAAGTTCCAACCCCAGGTGTGCCCAAGCGACCCCAATTTAACAAGAGCTTTGCTAGAAAACTGCATGCAACTTCATTTAACCAAAGGAGGGATACGTATGCCCTCAATGATGGTGTATTTCACCACTGCCCTTAGCACATCCATTGTAACCATAATGCCTTGGTCTACTCCAGTGGTGGTGAACCTATGACAAGCTTGCTGCAGGAGGCATGCAAAGCCCTCTCTGCCAGTACACAACCAAGTCACCCAGCATTGCCCCAGCAGGTAAGCATCAGATAACAGTGCATGTAAGGGCCACCCACATGCTCAGAAAGGAGCAGTGGCACTAGGTGCCAGTAACAGAAAACCTGGGTGCTGCGTGTGTTGCTCTCAAACTGACAAAGTGTGAGCTAAGGTTTGACAAACTATCAGCATGCACAGAACAGCAAAGATCACATTAATTGTGCAAAAGCATGCCAGATGCAAATGTTTACCTTTCAATAAAAAGGTGTTTGTATCATTGAAAGCTCTGTTGTGTTTTTATTTTTAAGACAAAAGACATTAATGTATTTTTTCTAAACTAAAACCTCAATATTCAGGTTTAACTGCAGTGTTGGCACTTTGTAATAAATAAATGGGTTTGGGTTGCAATTTTGGCACTCAGTCTCTAAAAGGTTCACCATCTTTGGTCTAGTCTAAATGTGCCTTCTTATTCCAGAGGTGTGTTTCTAGGAGAATTCATCTTATATGCAACCTGACTTGCCTGAAGTCTCTATTTTCCAATTGGACCCATTATGTGACATGAAGGGCCTCCCTATCCCACTCCACCACCACTAACCAGCTTGGCATAGAAAAGCAGAGTGCACTGCTGAATACAAATACCAAGAGTCTGCCTGTCCATGAGCCTTCTGCTGACCACATGTCAGGACCATTTGCCGGGAAAAACAGAGAGGAGAAAACAGCTGCCTCTGATGTGAAAATCAGCAGGCTTCACTGTCAGATGTCCACCGACAATTCCCTGAGCCCCAAACAGACAAATTTTTCTGGGAACAATGCACCTGAGGCCATTCCCAGGAGTACACGGCAGGAGTGTGGGTTTTGGTACATCCTTATTGGCAGTTGTTCTCTCTAAGCCAGAAGCCAGCAATGGTTTCTGTGGGTCCTGCAGGTAACTATTAAGCTAATCCCTTCAGATAATCAAGTGCGTAATATTGTATGTATCTGCATCTGAAATTAATTTGTAATTATGTAGTTAAAAACAGGACAATAATACTGATCAGATAGACTTCACAATTTGTTTGTGATAGTGAATTTGTTTGTTTTTCTCAGTAGAATTAGAAATGGTTATGTTACCATGTTCTGAAAGGATTGACGATTCCTGCTGTAGGGAGTTGCTCAGGGCTCTGGTGTCTGAAAGCCAGTCTCTTTACTTTTCCCTGTGGACTATCTACAACAGGATCCCAAGATCTTTAATTGAACCTCTGATCTCTGTAGCTTTCCAGAATCATGTGAACCAACTGTTCCTGTGTGATAATGTGATATGCACTGGAGCAGAGACTCCTCAACCCAACAGAAGAAAATAACTGCAGAGAAATGGGCAAGAGGGCAGGAAGAAGGACCTACATTAAACTGAATCTGTGCAAAATCTCCAGCACTGCTCTGCAGGACATTGTATGTTGAGGACACAGAAAGCAGCTCCCATTCACCATCATTCAAAAATGCTTTTTTGTCATGCTTAACGTCTTCTCTGTTCCTCAGAAAGCCCAGGTCTATATCTTCCACTGGAAAAAACAGACAAAGTTAACTTCCTGGGAGAGAAAGAGATGCCAACATCAACCCACTTTTGCACCTCCCAGTTCAAATCCTTCTTCCTTTTTCTCTTGCCCCTCTATGCAAATGAGATCTTATTGATCTCATTTGAGTTAAGCAGTAGAGGTATAGAATAAAATCTTCAGAGTCATTAAAATGAAGAAAACTATGAATTTAGGGTTTGGAATCCATTCTCCATAGAGTAGTGGCATTTGTCTGTGACTCTATGCTATTTTCAATGACAGTAGCACCCTAATATTGTAATCACAAATTAAGAGCAGCAGTGGGCTATCACATTATACCTGGTCTGAATTTTAGCAAGAGCCAAATAACTGCAAGAAGAGATCTCTATTTTTAAAAGTAAACATGAAATTATAATATAATTGAATTATAATATAATTATAATA